AAAATCATAAACCAATGCTGCCATTCTGCTTAGCCAAGTGAGCCTGAGTTCTGCTGCCTCCAGATACATACAGTGTGATCTTTCCCTGCACAGGACGCATCTCTCATCTGCAACGGCACTTGACTGCTTTAAACCTCCCAAAGGTCTAATGTACACTGACCCCAAAGTGGTTAACAAAGGGATCCACAGTGCAGTAGATTTAGACAGGAAAGGATTCCAGCAACTGGCCATTCGGGTTGTGCTTTAACTAAAATTCAGTTCATCTACACTAACTCTTCCAAAAGAGTGCTTAGGTGGCAAATAAGATGCACCCAGAGTCAGGATGCATTCACTCGTGACAAAACATAGAAGAAAATTCTCTTTGCTGCAGCAAGTTGGGGAAACAACCCTGTTGAACTTTTTGTATGATCATCGGCACAGGTCTCCATAGCAAAGCACCACCAGCTGGCTTCATGGAGGGATAACAAACATGATTTCTGCCTGCTCTGGAGGCTGCAAGTTCAAGAACCAGGTGTCAGCCTATTGACTTGTGCTGTGACTCCTCCTCTTGGTGTCCAGATGGCTGCCCCCTCTCCCTGGGTCCCCAAGGCAGGGGGTTTCTCTGGGTGCCTATTTATTCCTAGTGGCTGTTTTCTCTTCCCTAGGGAACATGAGTAATTCTGGATTCAGGTCCTGCTCTCAGAGGCCCCTTTGAATTTCATCACCTCTCCATCAGACCTTATATTCCAGGATGCTCTGTGGTCCTAGGAGGTTGGGATTGAGGCTGCACTTGTGGGACACAATTCTTGCCTTGCCGTAACTGAGATTGTCAGCAGTACTCTGCTGTGTCTCTCCTCACCTCGAGAGCAAGGCTCGAGACCTGCTTGGAAGAATCTGTGTGTCCCACACAATCGTTTGATGGGTCTCCTTGATCACTACTGGAGCTGTGCTTTCTTTCATCTTTGTGCAAATAGATTTTGGTGGAGAGGGGGGAAATCAGAGCAGGACCTCGCTGAAGTCTGGGCTAGCTGATTTGCAGAGTTCCTTACAGAATCTGCTGCTGGTCATGGCCCCTCACCATTCATCGGCTTCCCCTGAAATTCTCTTTGCTAGAGAGTTTCACTCATGTGCTTAAATTCTATGTCACTGCCTCCCAAGAAGGGCTAGGAAGCATTTTTTTCTAACCCTCTATGCATTGCTCACTTTCTATGGAGCAGACTCTGCGATCTTGGTCTAACTAGGACTTAGCTGCTGAGAGACTGAGGCCCAGGACAATGCACCAGCTTGTCCAAAGGCTTTCTGAAGAGTTCAACCCTTCAAGACTCCAATCTATCCCAGAGCTGAAGATCACAGTTACCAAGAGCTAAGGAGTGATAGCACAGCGGTAGGGCGTTTGCCTTGCACGCAGCCAACTCGGCTGACCCGAGTTCGATTCCTCCGCCCCTCTCGGAGAGCCCGGCAAGCTACCGAGAGTATCTCGCCCGCACGGCAGAGCCTGGCAAGCTCCCCGTGACGCATTCGATATGCCAAACACAGTAACAACGAAGTCTCCAATGGAGACGTTACTGGGCCCGCTCGAGCAAATCGATGATCAACGGGAGGGCCTTTACTTTACTTACTTACTAAGAGACTGGAAGGATCCCAGCAAAAACAGCCCAACTAGGAAAGGGTCCCAGCAAAAACAGGCCCAATTAGGAAAACTTCAAGACACATTGTACTTGAAATGATAAAATTCAAAGAGAGCGACAAAATACCGAAAGTAGCAAGAACAAAAAACGAACTCATGTGCATATGAGAAAAGTCCCTAAGATGTACAACAGATCAATCAAACAAGACTCTGCAAGCCAGAAGAGAATGGAAAGTGGAAAGATACTGTACAAAAATGCAATGAAATGAACACCTCGCCAAGAATACTCTATTCAGCTAGGTTATCATTCAGATTTGAGGAGCAGTACAAAGCTTCATGGAAAGGCACCAGCTCAGGGAATTCCTAACCTTGAAAATGGTTTTTCAAGTGGCATTAGAAGAGCTTCTTTATTTTTTTTTTTGTCTTTTCCTTTTCCTTTTGAAAAGTCCTCATTTTTATAGTAATAAAATGGTAGCTTGTTACAATAGCAGTAGAATAGCAGCAGATAATTTTACTCCTTCCTTTCTTTCTTCCTTAAGCTATTTTTTAAAAATTTTTATTAGTGAAACACCATGAGGTACATTTGTAGACTTACAAATTTTTTGTGCTTGGGTTTCAGTTATACAATGATTGAGTACCCATCCCTCCTCCAGTGCCCATTTCCCACCACCACTAATCCCAGTATTCGCCCACTCCCCATCCCCCCATCCCACCCTGCCTCTGTGGCAGGGCACTCCCTTTTGCTCTCTCAGAAGAGCTTCTTTAAAGGACAGGAGAAACGTCCCATCGTCCCATCGTGTGGCATTGAGTATGGCACTCACTAATGGTGCATATGGTCATTTGTCTTCTACTAGATTAAGAAAAAAGGTTAAAAATTAACCACCACAAGTTGTTTTTCATTGATTTATTTTCTGATAATTTACTTGCTTTACAATTTTTACTGGACAGAGTAATATAAAATAAACGTTTATATGTCCGCCAAGGGGGCAGGCTGGGGGATGGGAGGGAACCTAGGTACATTGGTGGTAGGATTAAACAACTCTATAATGAAAAATTTTGTTAATCACAGTGTCTTAAAAAAAAAACTTTTTAAAGACTCCAACCTAGTTCTGTTAATGCCAGAGAGAGTTCTCTCAAAACCACCTCACTCTCCGCTACGCAAAAAGTAACACCAAGAGCTTTATGTCTTATGGTCAATAATTCATGAAGTGAGACCATTGCCTTTTTAAAATTCTAAGGAACCTTCAAACAATGCCTCAGCCTGAAGAGGTTGAACAGGGGCTAAGGCGCTTGCTTTGTATGCAACCAACCCTAGCAACACACGGTCCCCTGAGCTCTGCTAAGAGTGATCCCAAGCACAGAGCTGGAAATATCCTCCAACACCAACGAGTGACCCCCTACCTTTCAAAGTCAACCAAAAGCAAAAGACAACAACAAAAAATATGGAGTAACTGTTAGTGCCAAAAAGATCTGGTGGGGATGGAGCTAGTACAGCGGGTAGATACTCGCCTTGCATGTACAGACCCAGGTTTGATCCCTGGTGCCACATATGGTTCCCAGAGCACCTATGGGACGCTGGGGATCAAACCTTGGTTGGCTGTGTACAAGGCAAAAGCCTTCCCCACTGCACTTGGGCCAACACTGACTTTTTTGTTGTTGTTTTTGTTGTTTTGTTGTTATTTGTTTTAGTTGACCCAGGTTTATTTATTTATTTATTTTGCTTTTTGGAGTAGCACCCAGCGATGCACAGGGGTTACTCCTGGCTCTGCACACAGGAATTACTCCTGGCGGTGCTTGGCGGAGCATATGGAATGCCGGGGATTGAACCCAGGTCAGCAAGGCAAATGCCCTACCTGCTGTGCTGTTGCTCCAGCCCCCAACCCTGACTTTCTTAAGGCATATTCTGCTGTGGGCTGGCAAGGAGGGCATGCGGCAGCTGCCCCCTCAATGCGTTCACAGGAGGCCCTGGAGACGCTGGAACGGGCCACGCTGCGTGTGCACCGCACAAAGACGATCTGTGTGGCCGTCAGCAGCCCGGCTCAGCTTCCTGGCCAGGGTGGCAGTGCCAAGGGCAGCCAGAGCCTTTTTTTGTTCATCCTCCTTAAAGCAAAGACTCCGGTTGTTCGGCTGTTGGGGAAAATAAAACAACAGGAAACAAATTCCTTTGATTGTGAGCAGCTTGCCTCTTTTACTTTCCTCCCTCTCCAAGCCTTCACTTCTAATTCCCTAAAGTCTCCTTTGCCGCTATGTGGATGGCCTTTCTCTGAGACCGAAAGTCCCAGATTTCCATTCTCCTTTCCAGACTCTCAGTTCAGCGGGAGACCCACACGCCTGCCTCCTGCTTGTTCACTTAAGTCAGAGCATTTTCCCTGTTCGCTGACTTCACCACAGATCCTGCAGAGCTGCAAGAGGAGCGCATTCCTAAGTTTTTCCGAAATTCCTAACCTATCGCTGGTCTTCACAAAGATTAACTGAAAAACAAGCAGGAGGCTGGGAAGCCACGCTGAGGCACAGACAGGACCAATAAGATCAAAATCCTGGTTGACATTCCGTGAGCGGGGGCAAAGGTCATCTTGAGATAAAAGCCAACTGTCCCCACACTTGGGGGAAGGAAGAGTTGCTAGGTTTTTTAACTGCTCACTTTTGGGGAAGAGGCAGGGATTTTGGTTCCTCCTGGCAGTGCTCAGGACCTACTCCTGACTCTGAGCTCAGGAGTCATTCCTGTCACTTGCTACCCAGGAGAATCTATGCGGTGCCAAGGTTGAAGACTTAAAGATGGAAAGCAGACATGCAGGAGAGTTTTCCCTCCACCTTGTCAGTTGCCCTGGCCCCAAAAAAGTGACAAGTGGCATTTCCAACTAGCACTGCAAGGCAAGACCCAGCCCTTCCCTCCAACTGCCGTCTAGTGGCCATCCAGTGCATTCACACACACACACACACACACACACACACACACACACACACACACACACACAAACTCCTAAATGACAGATGACCAGAAGCAAAGGAGCAAGCGGTATTGGGTGCAGAAGACATTGGGGAAAACCTGTTGAGCTTTGAAAACTTGAGCTTAGAAAACGGGTTGGCTGGGATTTGTGCTCGTGAAACAAAGAGCCACTTTCCCTGTCACGTCACCCATTCCTGTCATTCTCTGCCCTCCACAGAGAAAATCTGAAGAGAACCTGCAAGAAAACTTTTTACAGAACAATGCAAACACACACACACACACACACACACACACACACACACACACACAGATTTCTTGTCTATTCTTGGGCAACCAGACGCAGAAGAGAACCTGAGCATTCAGATCAAACACAGATGCTGAGGGTCTAACTGCCCCTGGTGCATGCCAGCCCTCCCCTGGGGACCCCAGAGAGCTGAGGGTACTCACCGGTCATGAGCGTGTAGTAGTTGGGGTAGGAGAGACTCGGGAAGTCTGGGGTCAGGTAATCCACTTTGACACCCCGGCTCACAATCTCTCGGAACCCAGGCAAGGACTCCAGGGCCTCGTCGCTGATGTAGTCAGAGCGAAACCCATCCAGCAGAAACAACAGGAGCTTCCGGCCACTGGCCGGGACCAGCTGCCCGGGAGTGAGCGCGAGGACCAGGAGGAGGGCCCGCAGCTTTGCTGCCATGCTGCCAGCAGCCTGCCGGAGAGCGCCTGGCTGGCACAGCCTGTCCCCTTGCAGAGACCCAGGATGGAGAATCCAGCTATTCTCTCTGCTGGGGGCTGGACCTTGCCTGCTGGCCTTCCTGAGCCAAGTTGACTTCCAGAATTTAAAGGTACAGTATCCCCTTTTAAGCACATCTCTGCTCGCCCTTCCCTGGAACAACTGATGCGACGACTTCAGAGGAACTGAATTCCCCAAAGGGCCAGAAGGAACAGCTGGGGAGAGACAGCATGCAACCAACCATTTGGGGTGCCCACAGAGAGGGGGAATTAGCCTGGCCCGGGCTCACCCTCAAGAGCAGTGCCCGCGGAGGGTGACCTTTCATTGGCTGGCATCCCACAACCTGGCCTATTTAAACTCTCCCTGACTCTTCTGTTGACAATTCCATGGCACACACCTTGAAACTCAGTACATGACCAAGGCATGGATGCAGGCCTGTCAGTTCATATCCACGTACTATTTCAGAAGAAAGGATTGATTCGAGGGGTCAGAGAGATAGTACAGCGGGAAGGGCGCTGGCCTTGCATGCAGCTGACCTGCGTTGGATCCCTGTCACCCCATAGGGGTCCCCAAAGCCTCTCCAGGAGTAATTGTAAGCACAGAGCCAGGAGTAAGCACTAAGCACCACCACCTGTGGCCTAAGAAAGAAAAAGGAAGAGTGGGTGTCTAGCTCCAGCTGCTTATTGCCTGCACAGGCTCTGGCCTGCAGGGCTTGCTTCGTCTTTCACAAAACAAATGCATTGCTCATCTGCAGAAGGAGGGGTTTCTCAGCAGAGCTACAGGGCCATAAAGAAGTTTCCAGAACTGGGATTAGCAGAGGCCATTACAGGTAAATGGGCCCCAAAAGTCAGAAAAATGAGAAAGAGAGCTGGGAGAAAGCTGGAGATGGAAAATCAGGGACAAATATGGTCACACAGACCTCATGCTAAGAAAGGCCACGTGAAGGAGGAAATGGTAGGGAGGGCTAGGGGAGTACAGAAAAACCTAAGGAGTCCCTGAGACAAAGCAGGAGGTCTAGATGCCTGTCCCCTGGTGGCTCGTTATCTGCAGAGTGTCAACCCATAAGACATATGTAATCACTAGCGTGATTATTGTCACTATACTATCATGTGGTTCCTGAAAAGCTCAGGGGAAGAATCACAGGGCCGGACTATAATCGAGAGCAAATACTCTGACCTGGATGCACCTGAAAGTGACTCTTCTACCCCTGACATCAAGTCCAATCCCATGGGAAATCACTTTGAAAGGTGACTGTGAGATCATGGGTCTCTTTCCAATGTGAGCTGAGAGAAAATAAGTACATTGATCAGGGGCAGGAGCAATAGTACAGAGGGAGGGTGTTTGCTTTGCATGCGGCCGAACCAGATTTGATCCCCGGCACCTCCTATGGTCCCCCAAGCACTGCCAGGAGTAGTTCCGGAGTGCAGAGCCAGAAGTGAAGCATGAGGCATGACCCAGGTATGAACCAGGTATGACCCAAAAAGAAAAAAAAGAGAGAAATACAGTAATCAAAACCAAGCTCACCTCAAAATGCAAACCAAAGCAAGATATCATGTCACAGGGAACAAGTGTTGGAGATAACAAATGTTGGTGAGGGTGTAGGAGAAAAGGAGCTCTATTGGAGGGGAGAAAGGACTGTCAATAAAATTAAAGTAAATAATTCCCACATACAAATCCTCATCTCAGTTGACTTGAGACAAGCATTCAAGTTTTTTCCCTAATAGATTGAAATGTTTTATATTAATTTGAAAATAAAATTAGATTCTTGTTTATCTGGGCTGTAAGATATTGTTCTACTAGGATGAGAAAGAAAGAATGACAGGAAAAGATATCGAAGGAAGTAAAGAAGGGAGGAAGGGAGAGAGGGAGGAAGGGAAGAAAAGAGGAAAGGGAAGGGAGTTAGGAAGGGAGCAAGGAAGGAAGGAAGGAAAGAAGGAAGGAAGGAAGGAAGGAAGGAAGGAAGGAAGGAAGGAAGGAAGGAAGGAGAGAGGGAGGGAAGGAAAGAGGAAGGAGGAAGAGAAGGAAGGAGGGAAGGGAAAGAGGGAAGAAGGAAGAAGGGAAGGAAGGAAGAAAGGGAGAGAGGGAAGTCAGTCTGGACAATAGCGATGGTGTAATAGTACAAGTCCACATAATTTGCCTTGGTGGTGGCCCCTGGACTCACTTGGAGGGTAGTTAAGTCTCCAAAAATAGTTGAAGAGACATCTATTTTTATCTGTTCCTAGCAGAGATCCAAAATGGAATCCCTGAGTGCCTTTTGAAGAGGGCAACTCACAAGAAACTCACTTTGATTTAGAATGTCTCCCAGGGTGGCTGAGGCCCGCAGCTAATGCCAGCACAGGTCTGTGTGGGTCGCTGCTGACATGCACTCTGTTGGTGGATAACTGTACTGCTATGTCATGGCCATGTTGAGAGAGTTTTTCTCAAGTTTTCTATCAGTAAATTATCATAAATAAGCATCTCCAACCCTTAATGTTTACACCAACATATGAAGCAAGAAACATATGGGATAGAATTTAAACCAGGGAGATCCTAGCATGAATGATTGATTTCAAATATGGGAATTTCTGGTCTATAAAATGCTGGAAATAAAAGTTAAAACATAATAAGAAAAGGCAGTGGTTTTGGTTTTTTGTTTGTTTTTTTAATCATGATTACCATTATATGCCCAGAGTCTTGCGTTATCTGGATGCTCTCTGAGGGTTATCAGGGTGGAATAGCGCACAGTACATCCGACCACTTGTTTATCAAGTGTTGCTCCCACTATGAGGTCATTTCCTGCATTCCTGGATAATGCAGCAAAAGCAAAACTTCTCAGGAGCTCGGAGGCACCTTTGCCCTGAATCTTCTCCGGGACTGGTGAGCGACATGCATGAGTCTCCAGGAATGTGCTCCACAGACCTGTCAGCGATCTGATGCCTGGCTGTTGCCACAGTGGGGTGATGGGAGGCAGGAGTCGAGCTTTGGAGAAAGACACAATTCCAGGGGCTGGAGCAATAGGATAGCAGGGAGGGCGTTTTTCTTGCACGCAGCAGACCAGGTTTGATCCCGGTCATACCATATGGTTCCCCTAGCACCACCAGGAGTAATTTCTGAGTGCAGAGCCCAGAGTCTGAGTATTGCCCTCAGTATATTCCTGAGCATTGCCGGATATGACCCAAAAAGTCAAAAAAAAGAAAAAATTCAGAATCTACCTTTCGGTATCAGGCCATGGTATGACTCCAAGAAAACTGTTTAGCCTTAGCATGGCTCAACATTTTTTTTGAAAAGCAATGAAAGCACGAAGGGCCTTTCCATCTCAAGTCAGAGCCACTTAAAAGTGGTGGCCCATGGTAACCCAGATCATCCGACCTTACCCCTTCTTGCTCTGTCAATCCATCCTATTGTTTCAAGCCACTGATGACCCTCATTGACCCATGCCCGTCCCTGTCTTTCCTCGAAATAAGTCTGCTCATCACAGTCCTGTCCCCTCTCTGGTTAGACCTCAGAATTAGGGTCTTACTCTTTTTTTAGAGGGTTGGAGTCATACGTAATACCCTAGACCTAGGAAAATATTCTTCTAAAAATGAATATGAAATAAAGATAACTTTAGATTAATGAGTGATGTGGTCGTTGCTTATTAAATTATCTCACCCCAGAACAGCAAGAACACTAGAAAACCAAGGGGAAAAATGCATAAACGTTCAACAAGTTCAAGGGGCAAAAACAATAACACTGAGGGCACAGACAACATCCAGTTTCTTGGTACATCTGAAGACTGGCACCAGAAGTCAAAATTGCAGTGTTTGACCTTCACATCTTCTTCTAATATTGTTCCTTTTTGTTTCAAAAGTGTTTTATTCTGATGCACTATTGATCTAAATCACCACCTGTGAGAGCAATGGGAAAGTCTGGGGCATAAACAGGCAGCCAAGAGTCAGGGCCTCTGAGTGACCCATTCTGGGAATGGGGCAAAGATGAGTGGTACATAATCATAAGTTATGATTTAGAGCAGAACAGAAAGACCCAGACCAACCTGTTACCTAGGCGGGGAGGGGAGTGGGGCCAGAAAAGCAAATTATTAAGTCAATAAACATCTATACTGTGAGGGCAAAACTGATGCCATGACAGGCTGCAACTAACATTAAGTCTCGACTAAGCCTCAGTTTCTGTTTCCCCAAAGCAGAACTTCAATTTCTGGTAAACTCCCAGTTGAGTAATTCACCTAGATTAGAAACTGGGTAGTTGGATCTTGCCAGTCATGAGTGGTCGCCGCACCTTCTTGGAAAAACCCCAAACTGTTACTGGTACCTGCTGTCTAGTTGCTGACCACTTTTGTAATAGGGCAATGCTAAAAATAGACCAGTATATAAACCACTTCTTAACTGAAACCTACATAAACTGCTTATGATTTGGAGTCAGGGGCCTTGTCAAGACTCCACTGTGTTGGATGAGACTTGGACCCTAGCTCAAGCTAGCAATAAAGTTCCTTTGCTGGAGCACAGCAGGTAGGGTGTTTGCCTTGCACACGGCTGACCCGGGTTCAATTCCTCCATCCCTCTCGGAGAGCCAGGCAAGCTACCGAGAGTATCCCACCCACACAGCAGAGCCTGGCAAGCTCCCCATGACGTATTCGATATGCCAAAAACAATAACAAGTCTCACAATGGAGACTTGTAACTGGTGTCCGCTCGAGCAAATCAATGAACAATGGGAGGACAGTGCTACAGTGCTTTTACATTATCGTACATGGACATGGTCTCTCCACATTTGGGCTTTCAAAACTTGGGCACAACAATACGAAACCCAAACACAAAGATTTCTAGCTTCAAGGGCTCCCTCTCTATGTACCCCTTCTGAAGAGCAAATTGAGGTGAAGTAAACAATTGAAAAATTCTATGTGCCTTTTGGCCATTTGTATTTCTTTTTTGAGAAAACTTCTGTTCATTTCTTCTCCCCATTTTTTATGGGGTTGGAGGTTTTTTTTCTTGTACAATTCTACTAGTGTCTTGTATATCCTGGATATTAATCCCTTATCCACATCACTAGCCATCAGAGAG